AGTCCTTATAAATGTTGTAGTCATCCTACATCTATTTCCAGGGCCGTATTTTGTATCATTGGATGTTGCGACTTCTCTGATGTGCACTCTGAGGTAGCAGAGAAAACAGAAGATTACTTGTGGATTAAACTGAGTCAGATCAGATTTGGGGATGATGCGGAATCTGAGGAGGGGGGAAGTACACAAGATACACTCACCCTGCCACAGTTTCAAACCACATTATCTGAGGAGTATGGTATGATAGAGAATTGGAATTTTGTTTTTGTTTTGTTTTGATTATGTACATGAAACAAACATTACATCAGGTACTTTATATCAAGCCTTACTCGGTCATTTATTTTGTTGAGCAATATATTGGCAGAAAATATAACAAATATTTCAAACCATTTCATCTTATATTCCTAAAATGATAATGGAACAAATGGAAAATTCTTCAAAAAAATTACAAATGAATTACAACTCTATTCAGGTCTGAAATAAATGTGCTACAGGAAGGACAATTTGGGAATTTTCTTTTTCTCCCTCCATACAGGTGAGAGTCACTTCAGCGCCTATCAGCAGCCGTTCTTGTACTTTGAGGTGCTCCTTCTCACGGCACAGTTTGAGGCAGCCATCGAGTTCCTGTCCAGAATCGAGAGATTACGGTGTCATGCAGTCCACGTGGCGTTGGTGCTGTACGAGATGAACATGTTAGCGCTGTCCCAGAGTATACAGTCACAGCTGTGTGAGTGATGATTGGCTGGTTTTCTTATCTGTGAAGTCTACAGGGAGTTCTTTCACGGAACAACTAGTTTATTTCTATTTTTTTATTTTATTTATTTTTATTTTATTTATTTATTATTATTATTTTGTTTAATTTTTTTGTTTTATTTATTTATTTTTTTTTAATTTTATTTTTTTTTTTTTAGCTCCGGAATGTTGGCTGATTAAGTTAAGTTTGGTGGGGAGTCTCAAAAAGTTATTTACCTTTACAAAAAAGAGAATAATAACTTCTCTTCTCTTTTTCTTTTTATAAACTGTCGGAAATGTTGGCCAATTAATTTATATTTGACAAAGAGAACATAGGGCTGCTTAGCTATTTCTTTATTTCTTTGTTTTATGGCCAGATGGAATATCATAAGAAGGTAAAACAATATGATACAAATTATTTTTCTGAAATAAATTCAAAATATTTTTTTAAACTGAAGAAATGCTAACAACTCCCATTCCTTTTCTAGTGTCCAAAGAAACTGGAGACCCCAGTCCAATGAAGAGGCTGAACTTTGCCCGCCTAGTGATGATGTATACAAGGAAGTTTGAGGGAACAGATCCCAGGGAGGCCCTGCAGTATTTCTACTTCCTCAGGTAAACTTTATTAGCTGATAGAAGTTTTAGGGGAACAGACTCTAATTTATTTTAGTCTAAAATGTGAATTTTTTTTTCTTTTGGTTAATAAGGTGATTCATCAGCAGCAAATTAATTATAAAATTGTTTTATTGATAGGATTATTATTACTATTTGGAGTCAAAAACTGTTCATTAGTGGCATATGAAAGCCCAAGTATGTCAGAACCTTTGTGTTTGGATAATTTTTAATGATAATTTTTTTTCTTTCAGAAACTTGCGTTCTCCACAGGGAGACAACCTATTCATGTCATGTATCAGTGAGCTTGTGCTGGAGACTAGAGAGGTAGCCATCTTGTTCTTTGTACTGTACAATTATACCTTATATTCTTTATGCTATCTGAGGAGATAGTTATGTAAAAGCATGTATTAGTGTGTAAATGGAATTGAATTAGGTTGCAATTTTAAAGCCAAATTACTACAAGTAATTGGGGCTTTGTTGGCATGCTTTTTCTCTTGCTAAATTACTTGTTCTTGTCATAAGCTGGTAATGATCACATTTCTAAGTTTCTGCAGCCAAAAGCCTTTTACTTCATTTAGTAAGATTCTAATGTTTCGGCTAATTTGCTGATTTAAAATAACTAAAAATAGAGACAGTCTCAGCATACACACATTTTATTTATTTATTTATTCATTTATTTATTTATTTATTTTTTTTTTTTTCAGTTTGAGACTTTGCTAGGTAGATTGGAAAGGGATGGAACAAGAAAGGTGAGCTTGTGAAACATAAATTTTGACATTGTTTTTCTCATTATGTATTTTTTATGTCAATAACAAAAACACATTACATATGTTCATACATTAAATGGGATTGTGTGATAGCTTAGCATGTTTTTTTTACTCCTTATGTGATGTTAAAATAAAATTGAAAACAAGTACAATAAAAAAAAAACTTATTTCAGCCTGGAGCCATTGACAAATTCCACAGTGATACTCACAAGATCATTGCCAAAGTTGCAGAAGACTCTGAGACTAAGGGACTGTTTGAAGACGCTGTGAAACTGTATGACCTAGCAAAAGTAAGATGCTCTTTATGTTGTGAGAATGTACATTTCTGGCATATATGAGTATTCTTAAAAATTACCTTTGTAGCACATTGAGTAAAGTTAAAAAATGGCAAATTAATTTTTTAAGTGTGTTGATTTCATATTTTGTACATTCTATATGATCTTTTTTTTTTTTTACAAAATTGAAATTTGATTTTTATTCTATTTTTTTTTCTATCATGGCCCCCATATGCCACCAAACCATTTCTCCCTACTTTTTTCTCACAGTCAATCACGTCTAGTTACATCCCATGCTTTTATTTCTTTCTTTTTTATGTTTTATATTGCCTTTTTAATTGATTTATTAATGTTGTACATGTTGTTAAATACTCGGTTGGTTTATTTTCAGAATCCAGAGAAAGTTCTAGAGTTGATGAACAAGCTTCTCACCCAGGTGCTCTCTCAACCTCCAAGTCCTCACTCCAGTAAAGACCGGCTAAAACAGATGGCTCTGTCCATTGCTGAGAGGTTGGTCACATCTAACACAATATGTCACATGTAACATAATGTCACCTCTAACACAATGTTTCATCTAACACAATATGTCACATCTAACACAAGTCACTTACATGTAGTTCATTTGTAATGAAAAAACGAAATCTATTTCAAACTTTGCACCTAGTTAAAGTTATGCAAAGATTTATGTTTTCCAAACTCTCTCTACAGTTTTATTTGCATCTTATGAAGAATATCTCATCTCTTTAAATTTATAATTTTGATATGTATATCTGTTTGTTTACTTCTAAGATATGAGATAAGATACAAGTTGTAACGTGATGGAAAGGCTGATAAATAAATTAAAAATTATATATACAATTTCAGATATAAAAGCCAGGGCCATGAAGGCAGCAGAGCCACTACTGGGACATTCTACCTCCTGCTGGATCTGTTGGCTTTCTTTGATCTCTACCATAGTGGCAGTCTGGACCAGGCACTGGATGTAAGATAGAGATGGGTTAAGACATAGTGACTGTCTTTTTTACCCCCCCCCCCCCAATATTTGTCCCTATACTTGGATGTATGCACTAAAATATTTCAATCCCAAAGTGGTAGTATGATTATGCTTATTCTTGTTTATCTAATTTTGCTGTATTTGTACATTCTTGTTGCGGACTTTGGTTCAGTTGGGTTATATTTGTTAATATTTGTTAAAAATTTAAAATTAAGTTAAACCCATCATAGACTGAGCCTAGTTAAAGGTGTTACATGTAAAAGATGTCTGAATGCTGCATGCTGTGCCTCCTTCCACAATGTTCACAGTGTTCCTGTCCCAGAGTTCCATGAATTTTACTCTTGAAACCCTGGCACCTTTAGTTGTCTCTTCTGTATTATGTTAGAAGACAAACAAAGGGAAAAAACTCCATAACAAATCTAGAGAGAGAGCTAACATGGAATTTATTGCTCCCCTCATCTGTAAGTTTGCCCTTATATATTCTANACTTACATTGGTATTACCTGTTGAGCATAATTAAAATTTGATGTTGAATTTGCAGTTAAGCATAATGTACTTTTGCATCAGAATTGACAGCCTGTTTTGTGCATTGTTATTGTCTGCTTTTTGTCTGTACATTTGACAGCTTTGCTGCCTTGTATTATACTTGAAGTCTACAGGGAGTTCTTTCACAGAAGAATTTCTCTTAGTTTATTTATTTATTTATTTATTTATTTATTTTAGCTCTGGCCATTTAAGTTAAGTTTGGCAGGGAGTTTCAAAAACAAAAAGCTATTTACCTCTACAAAGAAAATTACTTGATCCTTTTTTTTTTTTTTTTTTTTTTTGTAAACCATCAATATTGGCCAATTAAGTTATATTTGACAAAGAGAACATAGGGCTGCTTAGCTATTTCTTTATTTCTTTGTTTTATGGCCAGATGGAATATCATAAGAAGGTAACACAATATGATACAAATTATTTTTTTCTGAAATAACTTCAATTTTTTTTTACTGAAGAAATGCTAACAACTCCCATTCCTTTCCTAGTGTCCAAAGAAACTGGTGACCCCAGTCCAATGAAGAGGCTGAACTTTGCCCGCCTAGTGATGATGTATACACGGAAGTTTGAGGGAACAGATCCCAGGGAGGCCCTGCAGTATTTCTACTTCCTCAGGTAAACTTTATTAGTTGATAGAAGTTTGAGGGAACAGATCCCAGGGAGGCCCTGCAGTATTTCTACTTCCTCAGGTAAACTTTATTAGTTGATAGAAGTTTGAGGGAACAGACTCTAATTTATTTTAGGCTAAAAAGTGAAAAAAAACTTCTTCCATAAATAAGGTGATTCATCAGCAGCAAATTAATTATAAAATTGTTTTATTGAAAGGATTATATTTACTATTTAGAGTCAAAAACTGTTCATTAGTGGGATATGAAAGCCCAAGTATATCGGCACCTTTGTGTTTTAATAATTTTCAATGATAAAATTTTTTCTTTCAGAAACTTGCGATCTCCGCAGGGAGACAACCTGTTCATGTCATGTATCAGTGAGCTTGTGCTGGAGACTAGAGAGGTAGCCATCTTGTTCTTTATATTCTTTATACTCTCTGAGGACATAGTTATGTAAAAGCGTGAATAAGGCCAAATTACTTCAAGTAATTGGGGCTTTGTTGGCATGCTTTTTCTCGTGCTCAAATTACTTGTTCTTGTCATAAACTGGTAATGATCACATTTCTAAGTTTCTGCAGCCAAAAGCCTTTTACTTCATTTAGTAAGATTACAATGATATGCTTTAGGTGCAAATAATTTGCTGATTTAAAATAACTAAAAATAAAGACAGTCTCAGCATACAAGCATTTTATTACTTTATTTATTTTTTTTTTCAGTTTGAGACTTTGCTAGGTAGATTGGAAAGAGATGGAACAAGAAAGGTGAGATTGTGAATGACATAAATTGTGACATTGCTCTTCTATTAATGTATTTTTTATGTCAATAAGAAAAACACATTACATTTGTTCATACATTAAATGGGATTATACAATAGCTTAGCATGTTTCTTTTTCTTCTAACATGATGTTGAAATGAAATAGAAAACAAGTACACTTTTTAAAAACTTTTATTTCAGCCTGGAGCCATTGATAAATTTCACAGTGATACTCACAAGATCATTGCCAAAGTTGCAGAAGACTCCGAGACTAAGGGACTGTTTGAAGATGCTGTGAAACTGTATGACTTAGCAAAAGTAAGATGTTGTTTATGTCTTGAGAATGTACATTTCTGACACATTGAATAATGTTAATTTTTTAATGTCTTCTGATTTCATATCTTGTACATTCTGTAGACATGTTCTTTTTTTTTTTTTTTTTTTTTTACAAAATTTAAATTTGATTATTATTCTTACTTTGTTTTTTTCCCCAGTTACCAGCAAACCATTTCTTCCTACTTTTTTTTTTTTCTCACAACCAGTCATGTCTGCTTATATTCCATGCTTTTATTACTTTATTTTTTATCTTTTAGACTGCTTTCTTAATTGATTTATTAATGCTGTGCACATTTGGAAATATTTGTTTATTTACAGAATCCAGAGAAAGTTTTAGAGTTGATGAACAAGCTTCTCACCCAGGTGCTCTCACAGCCTCCAAGTCCTCACTCCAGTAAAGATAGGCTGAAACAGATGGCTCTGTCCATTGCTGAGAGGTTGGTCACATCTAGCACAATATGTCACAGCTAACACAATTGGCACATCTAGCACAATATGTCACATCCAACACAATATGTCACATCTAGCACAATATGTCACTCCTACCACAATTGGCACATCTAGCACAATATGGCACATGTGTCACAATTGACACATCTAACACAATGACACAATGTCACAGCTAACACAATCATATACTTGTCGTACATTTGTAGTGAAAAACAAAAATATTTTCCAAACTCCCTTTACAGTTTTATTTTCACCTTATAAAATGTATCTTATCTCTTTAAATCTAAAATTTTGGTACGTATATGTGTTTGTTTACTGCTAAGATATGAGATAAGATACAAGTTGTAATGTGATGGAAAGGCAGATAAATTAATTGATATATTTCCAGGTATAAAAGCCAGGGCCATGAAGGTAGCAGGGCCACCACTGGGACATTCTATCTTCTGCTGGATCTGTTGGCTTTCTTTGATCTCTACCATAGTGGCAGTCTGGACCAGGCACTGGATGTAAGATAGAGATGGGTTAAGACACAAATATCTCTCTCTCTCTCTCTGTCTCTCTCTCTCTCTCTCTCTCTCTCCAAATATTTGTTCCTACACTTGAATGTATGCACTAAAATATTTCAATCCCAAAGTGGTAGTATGATTATGCTTATTCTTGTTTATCTAATTTTGCTGTATTTGTATATTCTTGTTGTGGACTTTAGTTCAGTTGGGATATATTTGTTAATATTTGTTAAAAATTTAAAATTAAGTTAAACCCATCATAGACTGAGCCTAGTTAAAGGTGTTACATGTAAAAGATGTCTGAATGCTGCATGCTGTGCCTCCTTCCACAATGTTCACAGTGTTCCTGTCCCAGAGTTCCATGAATTTTACTCTTGAAACCCTGGCACCTTTAGTTGTCTCTTCTGTATTATGTTAGAAGACAAACAAAGGGAAAAAACTCCATAACAAATCTAGAGAGAGAGCTAACATGGAATTTATTGCTCTCCTCATCTGTAAGTTTGCCCTTATATATTCTGCATTATAAGATAAAAGCTTATATTGTCCATGTATTACAGATAATTCGGCACTTGAAGCTGATCCCACTGTCTCTGGATACTGTGGAGCAGAAAGTATCTGGCTTCAGACACTACGCAGATGAGGTAAAGTTTTCTTTGAAGATTGAATCTTTTGTTTTATGTTTGAAGTGCCCTTTGCTTTACAATGTGACTAATTAATTACCACTAATTGTGAAAAAGTTTGGTTAATTTTAATGTCATTATGGAATTTACCTAAGGGCAGTAAAGATCTCTTAAATCTTTAAATTTGTTTGTTTGAAATTGTATAAATCCATCACTCCAAAAGCACACGTACATGTGACTATTTTTATCTGGTTTGGTGAAGCTTTTATAGGGTTTTTATTATTGCATTTATTTTGTGTATTTATGTCATATAATTATGATTATTTTTTATTTTTTTAGATTCGGCGAAGCTTACCAGATATATTGCTTGCGACCATGAACATTCTATATACCCAGTATAAAAATGCCAAGTAAGTAAACCAGTATCTTCTTCATCGCAGCAGAACTTAAGCCTATATTACATTTGAAATGTGATGCCCGTACAGTGCACATATACTACCTGTAATACCCTTTTCATACGGCACTAACTTTGATGAGATTGCTTTTCATCAAGGGACTTGATCTTACCATCTTACAACTTCACCTTTCTGTTCTCAGAAGTGCAGGTAGACAGAGTCCTCTGGTGGGAAGACCAGGAACTACAGATGATGGTGGAAAAGAATCGGTAAGAGTGTCTGTCTTCTCTTGCAGAAGTTGATGCATTAGGCTGCATTTATAGTGGCTTTAATTAGCAAGTTAATTATCATAAGTAGTTTCTCAGGTTGTTCAGTCATCATGATCAGCAATTAGCAGGCAGCAATCATCTAAAGTTCTACCTGAAGAGTTCTGTTTAAAAACTGATCTTATTATTACATAATTTTTTTATTCACGATATTCCTTTTTGCATACACATGGTGGTAGCCAGTCAAAACAGACTGTTTCTTTGTTTTCACAGAATGTCATTCCAGCGAACCAATTTCACATTCAAAATGTCAGTATTGTCTTTGTTATTATTTATGTATTTACTTATTTCAGTTCACCAGTTATCTGCGCAGCCAGGCAAAGGCTTTGATCACATTTGCTGGGATGTTGCCGTACAGAATGCCTGGAGATACCAACGCCAGACTGGTCCAGATGGAAGTACTCATGAACTGAACATGTGACAGACGCTCACTTCCATTTCAAAGGATTTTTCAATTTTACAATTTTCTGAACTGAATTAAATCTTCAACAGTCAGTTCCATTTCAAAGGATCATAGTTTTTTTTTTTTCCAATTTTACATCTCCATGTTCAGGGGAGTTGTGCTGTGCTTATCTGTAAAAATTGCAGAACAAAGACTTGGAGACATACTTCTGCTAAAATGGCATGGCAAAGTAACAGGTATTGCCTCACAAAAGAGATAGCTTGGCAGATTGACAATGTAACACGACCAGCCTGGGAGCCACCGGTCTGCCGCTAGGTGGCTTTTAACCAAACCGGAAGTTGAAGAATTTGAATTGGGTGAAATTTTTTGAGATTTATAGGGTGTCAGAAACGGTGGAATATCTCGGCTATTAAGGGTATAAAAGTTTTGTTATGTATACTGTCATTTTAAAAAGTAAATTGCAAATCATGTCAGATGCTCCTCGAGTTGATTTAAACCCTGTTTTGTGTAGAAAAGCGAGTTTGAAACCAAATATTTTACTAAAGCTACAGCAGAAGTTCAACTTTGACTTAAATGCTTGCATTCTTAGAGAACAGGTTCCAATTTTAAGTTACCAGTAAGATGTGGCAAATTTATTCAGCTTTCTGTTAATGTAAGCATGTAAGGAACTTTACCTTCATCCAGGAATGGCACAAATCAATTCGCACCCGTGTATGCAAAAAATGTCTTCCTTGCAACAACCGTATACCAGCCTCGTTTTGACTCAGTACATTCTGTTGGTATTCTGACCTCTTTTTGGTTTTTCCACTGCTCATTGTCTATATAGTGAACTGAAGCTTGCACAGGAAGAATGGAGGAAAATAAACATTTCATATTTTTTCTTTGTAAATAAGCATTTATTTATTATACAAGTCCAACCGATAAGTGTCCTTTTTTTATGAAAAAAAAGAAACATTTATTCAATTTTCTTTATTTTATTTTCATACATGTAATACACATATACATTGTATATTTGTGGCAAAAAATTTATTTTTTATTTTAGCAACACATCAATATGGCGATTATTTTACACTACTTAATCAGTACATACAGTTAACCAATGAACACACCACTCCTTTTAAAAACAAGATCAATATTAATAATAATATTATTTTATAAATTTACCTTGGGTCAGCAGTTGTTTTCACTGATGCCCAGTTAGTCCTGTACCAATCCATGCTTTGAATTTATTTTTATAAGCAGAAGTTTCTGTCTACAATGCAGGTCATGTATGCAAAAACTAAACTTCGCATTTGTTACCTATGGTGCATGGTTCAAATATACTGGTAAAATATATGACAAATGTAGTAATACTGATGATCAATAAATATTATTATAAGCAACAGCTAGCACAGCACAAAATATTTTTCAGTCCTTAAAAGAATGTTAGAGGTTGTGATGGTGCTCACTGCCACACAGTATTTGGAAATAATAGATTCTGTCATAAAAACAACAGGCCAAGGAATTGGAAAAAGAATTTACCCTGTTCCCATTCATGTTCTTCAAGCCTAGAAAAATATTAGATTAAATATTAAAAAGGTTTAAAAAGTAATTTACAGGAAAACTTTTGTAACTGCATATATTTTTTACACACACACACAAACAAACAAACAATACAACAATACACACTAAAATCAATATAAATAATAAATCACAATCTTGGTAATTTATTAGGGAAGCTGGTAACAATTGAATTATCTAAAATAGCACTTTTTACTCTTAAAGTGTATCAGTATAGATAAATGAAGCTCATCATCAGGAGCTGAACTGTGTCAAACGCGTTTCTTTAAATCAATTAAGATCCCATTTAGATGAAGCCCTGAAGAGTTTAGGAAATACATACAAGTCTACAAACTAGAGTGTTCACAACTACCATACACTAATTATTGCACTGGTACTTTTTGTTTCATAAAATACACAATATTTATAAATTAAAACAAAAGAATTTTACAAATATAATGTTCTTTTTTCATGAAACAATTTTCCTTTACAAACTTATAACCCATGTTTTTGCAGGTTTGTGCAGGGGAGATTTTTAACAAAAATAAACTTCCTTATAACACAAATGTGCAATTTGAAAACACACTTACAATGTAATACTGGCATTGTATTATGCAAAGTGTTTATCTATTGAAAATGGTCAACCAATGAAGGTTGTAATATGTAATGTAAGATATAAAACTTATTTTTGAGAAAAAAATTTTCACTCATATTGATTTCATACATTTGTCTCCTGACAAAAGAGTAAAAATGTGAAAAGTTAAAATTTGTTATTCATATATTTGAAAAGATGCTTGTGATTGGTTTTCAATTTTGTATCTTTCACAACTATAAAAGTTACAAGTGTGAAAATAGTTTCATTCGATAATTTACAAGCATATATATTTGGCAGTATATATTTATATATATCTCTTCAGCTGTGTATAATACCGATACCTTATATTGGAATATGCAAAATATACTGCCTGTCGTACATGTAGAAAATCGATAAGTTGCAGGTTAGGTTCCTTCCTAAAATTTTAACATATTCAAAAACAAATGTCACACTATAAAAAAAACTGAACAGACCAAAAAAATCACCTTCATCTGCATTTGGCACAATTCAAAAGAACGTGTTTACATTTCGGTTTTGTGTGCCGCCATTTTAGAACACGACAGTAACTTGAAAAAAGATTCAGTGAAACCGATACTTGAACACTACTTTATTATAAAAAATATAGCTTGAGAATATACTATCGTTCTGTCAAGTGCATTAGTAAAATTATCAACATATCAGCGTATAAACGTCTGTTCATCTTACCTGTCTCTATGCCTGCTTCTCCCCCCAAATTGGGTAAAGCCGCCGCTTCAAGTTTTGAAAACGCTGCAAAATCTAATATTCTCCAAAATAACCGTCATACATGTACTACCAGATGGGTTAAGCCAAGCAGGGGCGGATCCTGGATTTTTTAGAGGGGTGTTGTTTTTTTTTTAAACCCCCCCCCCAAAAAAAAAATTAAAATAAATAATAATAATAATAATAATAATAATAATAATAATAATAAACATTTTAATGCGTGGACATAATATTTAAAAATAATTTAATATATCAATTTTAGAAAGTCATCAAGTAACATCACAAAACTGTAATGTAAGCCATATGACACTTGACTACGGTCATGTTGTTCGGTTTCAAAGATTTTGTATCAAGGCATAGGATAGGCTGACTTTTGTAACATAATACTTAAGCGTAGTTTTGTCTGTTTCTGAATAACTATCTAAAATCAAAATCGGGGAAGGATTTTAGGGAATGGTGTAAGGCACGTGAGTAAATTGTGGGTGCAGAACTACCTAAACATTGGCAGTGACGTTTTATTGTGAAACGTGCTTATACCGGGAGCGTCGAGTAGCGTGAAGGAGGAGGTGGGGGGGGGGGGGGGGGNATATTCGCACGTTATTAATACTAACGAAAATTAAAACCTCGCGTAAGGGGTATTACGAGATGCACATATATTTTACTGACACATATTGTTCTTAACCTCAAGTATATTTTTTAAATGCCTGGTAACTAAGGTTTTACAAATTACTTTCTTTGAGAACGCAGTTTTGCCGTGTTTCGTAAAAAGCAATTGAGTGTGTCCTGCTTATCGTCTAGCTTATCATGGATGTAATTGAAGATGTATATGGCTAAAATATTACAAAAACATCAAACAACTAAATATTATGTCCTGTGGCTTAAGACGTCACGAATTTTTTTTCAATTTTTAAAAGCCAGGTGACACTGCGAACGTAGCCGCAATCTATTTATTGCGCCATTTAAAATGAACAAAAACAGACATTTTCTGAGACGTTAGACATCATACTCACTTCCTGATTTTGTGCTTTAGTAGAAATAACCTTGATCGATTGGATAATGTAAGATGGAGCTGCGAACTACAATAACGATGGGTTAATTTTATGTTTTTTTTTATGTCAGACCAGATAAATCTTGTAATTATTTTTTGGCAGCGATTTAAGTGGCTAGACTGATTTAAGTAAATTCCACTTGGATAAACAATTCTTTCTCTTGTTTTAAATTCTTAAATGGACCTACACATAGAGAATCAGTGTGTGTTCTCGGGGCAGGAGAGGCAAATCCCGAGTTTGATTTTTAGGTAGAGTCGAGTCAGAGACCACCTCACTGAGAAAACACACAAATGGAACTGTTGTGTGCCCGGCCATGAAACACTGATAATGAGCAGTTGACCTATAAGCATGTTAACTCTAGTTTTCGGCAACTTTGGTTGTATGATCTCCAGAGAGATGAGAAAGGATGCCAGTGAGCACTGAGACTTATAACAATGTTAAAACGCATATCAAAAAGTGTAAAATCCAGCTATGGTTTAAAATGGATAAAGTAAAGTTTACGTACAAATGAGAAAAATTTCATTTTTTAAATTTTTTATCTTATTATTCTTATTTATTATCTTTTTCTGTTTCTCTCTACTCAAGCCAGTGCCATAAGAGTACTGGTCACCTGAAGCCAAAAAGGAAGGCACCCGTTCTTAATTATTGCCTAAATCAATAGATGTTTTATATACAAAAATAAAATCATTCGTTTCTTCTGCCTTGTATAAGTTAATCAAGATTTTTCATATGACCCACTGCTGCTATTCTTTCTATTCGTAAAATCATAAATTATTTTCATTTCATTTCTTGATTACAAAATGTGTTTCAGAGAACTGAGGTGGATGTACATGTCCAGTCCAGCGTACTTTCAAATGACTCACTATAATTCGCTACAATCAGAACAACCATACTCCCTCAGGGTGCCTCGAAAATGCAGTCATTCTACGCCCTATTACGTCATCCACATTTTGGATCAGTGCTCGAATACACGCGCACAATATAGTGGCCTGCGAGAAGTTCACAGCTTCCAGTATAACCGACATCGTGCCTCTCATAATTTTGGGGAGAGGATATGTTGCTCAGAAATTGTCATCTACTGTGTCTGTTACATTTCGAGGTCACTGCTTAGTACTCAATACTCTTACCATAAAATAAAANGGGAAAGAGGTTTTAAAAATAACAATCGAACGTTATTAATACTAACGAAAATTAAAACCTCGCGTAAGGGGTATTACGAGATGCACATATATTTTACTGACACATATTGTTCTTAACCTCAAGTATATTTTTTAAATGCCTGGTAACTAAGGTTTTACAAATTACTTTCTATGAGAACGCAGTTTTGCCGTGTTCCGTCTAAAGCAATTGAGTGTGTCCTGCTTATCGTCTAGCTTATCATGGATGTAATTGAAGATGTATATGGCTAAAATATTACAAAAACATCAAACAACTAAATATTATGGCCTGTGGCTAAAGACGTCACGAATTTTTTTCAATTTTTAGAAGTCAGGTGACACTGCGGACGAAGCCGCAATCTATTTATTGCGCCATTTAAAATGAACAAAAACACAGACATTTTCTGAGACGTTAGACATCATACTCACTTCCTGATTTTGTGCTTTAGTAGAAATAACCTAGATCGATTGGATAATGTACGATGGAGCTGCGAACTACAATAACGATGGTTTAAATTTTATGTTTTTTTATGTCAGAACAGATAAATCTAGTAATTATTTTTGGCAGCGATTTAAGTGGCTAGACTGATTTAAGTAAATTCCACTTGGATAAACAATTCTTTCTCTTGTTTTAAATTCTTAAATGGACCTACACATAGAGAATCAGTGTGTGTTCTCGGGGCAGGAGAGGCAAGTCCCGAGTTTGATTTTTAGGTAGAGTCGAGTCAGAGACCACCTCACTGAGAAAACACACAAATGGAACTGTTGTGTGCCCGACCATGAAACACTGATAATGAGCAGTTGACCTATAAGCATGT